AAGCCCACTGTATGCATTATTGAAAACAATGGAAGGTTAAGTCAAGAAGATATAGGTTTTATTTTACCCTTAATGTACTTTCAAAATAGTTGTCTTCTGAATTTTTAAAGAATCTAACTTTATTTTTCATTTATTATTAAAAAAAAACTTCTCTTTGTTTATTTTAGCTGAAACAAGAAAAATACTTTTGGGTTAACTACAAAACCTTTTTGGGGAGTTAACAAAAAGCTCACCTGTCACATACTCTGAAGGTTACATAGTCGTAGCTCCTACTTGAACATCTTGCTCCCCAAGCACAAAGGTATTTATGCAAATTGACTTCTCTAGATAGAATGTTTGGGAAAAAATCAATGCATGCGTCCTATGTCTAAGCAAGCTATGCATGCCACCTTGACATATATTAGCTGTGTAACTATCTCAGTTTTCTCATCCGTAAAATGGTCATAATTTCCGTAGTACCTAACTCACAGGGTTTCTGTGAAGTTCCAGTGAAACCATGGCTAAGCACTTTGTAAACTTTAAAGCGCTATTATTATTATTATTTCGTAGAAGAATTGTCATAATTTAATGGAGTTCGGATAGAAACGGTCCTGGAACAAGTCACTATCTTGTTTTTATTCCCTTATATGTCTTTGGGCTGTTGCCCAGGTGGGTAAAATGATTGCCCTTTGTATTTATTGTATCAAAGTGTTAGGTTGTAAATTCAACCTTTATAGGCTCGATGAAAGCTTTAGTGCAGCTCTGGTAACAGACAGACCAACAGGGGTGATGTGCGCCTGGTCCTGTTCCCACAGGATTTTGGGAACTTCAGCCAGGACTTTATTCTGAAAATTTTCCACTCCATGCAGTAAGAAGATTATGAGAATTTGGTAAAACAACATCAATTAAAAATGTCCTTATATTTTTATGGTTTGATATTATATCAGTGGGGTCACAAAAAGTCTGAAATGACTTAATAACTGAACAACAACAACGAGGCAGTTCTGTGTTAATCCTCTGGTTCTAATAGTTTATTGGTTGAGTTTTGGAGTCTTTATTTGTAGTATGAAGATTTGTTACCTCTCAGTCCATGCAAGATAAGAATCTTTTGACATATATAATTCTAGGTCATGTCAGGTATTAGTTGGTTGCTCAATTTTTGTAGCTTGCAGTGATATTGTACATATTCAACCATTCCTTTGCATAACTGATATCAATCACTAACTTTGGACACTGCATTGATTTGGATTTCTTAAAGACAACCCCTTTGAAATATTTGGTGGCAACAGCCTGGTCCTGATTTAGCACCATAAAGCCTTCCTTTTCTGTAAACAAATCTGTTTTTCAGCTATTTGTTTATCACTGTCAACATTCTGTTGGTTGAGTTCATGAGTCTTTTTCTTGTTCTTATTTTTTTTTTTCTAACTGTTCCTCTTGAAAACTTAAGTCTCCGGACGGCCTATGGAGGACACAATCCTTCCTTTTGGTACTTGGTAAGCCTCTAAGTAGACAGCATTCCGACAGAGTTACATAGATGAAAATCTCATCCCTCTAAATTTAGATTGTTTATACTTTCATTTCATGTAACTACTTAAAATACGTCTCTGATCTGGAAGAAAATGGAGATGGAAGCTCTAATAGTTGAGTTTTAAGTGATGGACTATGAAGACAAATTCCAAGGTTTCACAGAACGTCAACTAAGGATGATTTAGTGAAACCTGGAATTTCCAATTTTTACCATGAGGAATACATAGTTCCCAAACTTTGTTTGGTCTCAGGAGCATTTTATACTCTTAAAAATCATTGAGGGCTCCCCAAGAAAAGTTTTGTTGATGTGGGTTATATTGATCGATATTCACCATATTATAACATTTAAATGTCTTAGTATTACTCTGAAAATCCTCTTGAAAGGTCTTTGGGGCACACGTTGAGAACATAACTTCTTGAAAAGTGGGGTTTTAGACAATAAGTACATTTCAGAAAAATTTAGAATAAATTGGTGACCATCTAATCTAATAATTTCTTTTAAAAGCTCTTTTACTATAAAGGAGATATTGACAATAAATAATAAATAAATAAAATGAATAATAAAATAAATAAAATAAAAATAATAAAGAAATAAAATTTAAAGATATATTTCTTCCAAGTTGAGAAAAACATCCAAACTTCCTGATTAAAGCAATTCACGTAAAAGTAAGGAGAGACGATGCCCTTCTGTAGAAGGTGAGAATTTTAACTAGGACTTGAAAGAAGCCACAGAATCCAGGAGGTTGAAATGAGGAGGGAGAGAATTTTAAAGAGCAGGGACAGCCAGTGAAAATATTCCAGAGTTGGGAGATGCAGGGAGTAGGTGGAGTGAGTGAACCATTAAGGAGTCCAGTGTCACCGGATTGCAGAATTATTAGTGTGATTAAGGGGTAAGAACAAGAGAAAGTAGGAAGTGGGCAGTTTATGAAGGATTTTGAATACTGAATATCTATTTTGTCAATATTCACTAATCAGATGTCTTTGCCATGACTGGTCAGTGACATATTTTAGTGATAAACCACCAACATTTCACACACTTTTTATATCTGTGGACTTTCCCGTCATTGACATAGAGGACATATCCAAACAGAGTTGGTAAACATGTTGGCTGTTAAAACGTTAACGATGTTTTTGCTGGTTTCTTAAGTATTCTGTGCATCTTGCTTGCTGTAAAATCTATGGTCCTATTTTAAAAATTATAGGCATATGGAAAGTGTTGATTCAAAGACATCCAGCTGAGAGGGACCTCGGAGATAGGCATCTACTCTAACACGTACCTGAACAGAAATCCTCTCTATGCCATCTCCTACAAGGCCCGGCTTTATCTATTGGAAAGTCTTTCCTTCACCTCCCCTTGGATTACGCTGATTACTTATAGCGCCCATATGGCAATCATCCATATCTTCTTGTGGTTCAGTCATTTTTCAGTCATGTCTGACTTTTCATGACCCCATTTTAGGGTTTTCTTGGCAAAGATACCGGGGTGCTCAGTTTACAGATGAGGAAACTGAGGCAAACAGGGTTAAGTGACTTGTTCAGGGTCACGCAGCTAGTAAGTATCTGAGGCCATGTTTGAACTCAGGAAGATGACTGTTCCTGATTTTGGGTTCTACACCTTATCCGCTTCATCTCCAAGCTACCCCAGAATGCCTTATATGACAGGTAGTTCTGCATTTCTTAGGATAGCCCAATAGGCTCCATTGGCACCCACGTACTAGCAAGACCTGAATCTTGACTTTCTTTTGAGACCATAATGTCCAATTCTTTTTCAGCTCCCATTCATGATCGTAAAAATGTTCAAGGACTCCAAGAAAACAAACAAACAACAACAACAACAATAACAATAACAAAAACAGAAGGTTGGTTTTACAGTTAGGAAGACCCAGGTTTGAGTCTTGCCTATTACCTACCTTGGTTATGTGACCACAGACAAGCCACTTTGCCTTTCAGTTTCCCCAGGCAACTTCCCTATGACTAAGATACAGATGAAATCTTCCCTTCTGAATTGGTGGAGAGAGTCTCCACACTGGGAGTTGCCCACACACATGAAATCACAGATCTTGATTCTCATTCTCCCTCCCTCATCCACCAAAACCCACTAAAGAAGAAACACAAGTCAATTTATTCAATTAATTCATTTTTTTTTTTTTTTTTGCTAGGCAATTGGGGTTAAATGGCTTGACCAGGGTCACACAGCTAGTGTCAGGTATTTGGTCTGAGGCCAGATTTGAACTCAGGTCCTCCTGACTCCAGGGCTGGTGCTCTATCCACTGTGCCACCTAGCTGCATCCCCCAATTTTTTTAAAGAGACCATTTACATTTCAATACTTCCAGAAAGTGATGGTTTATTAAGTCACTGTGAGGAGCCATGATCTATTTTGGTAAATCGAGAGGAATTTGATTATTAAGCCATTCTTGGAATTGCACTGTAAAGAAGGAATAATTAAGATTTAATCAATACCATTTCCCCCAGAGGGGAAGGAGGAAAAAGTATCAAATGTGCCTTTTCATAAACTCCAATACTCTAATTCCTTGGCAATAGCACCCCATTTTATAATCAATGATATTTTTCACAAAAATAGGAATTAGACCTATGATTTCACTGGTAAAAGGAAATCCTAGGCAAGAAAACTGCCTCTATGAATGTAGGTTGGAACCTTTTCTGCAATTCATAGTCTCAAAAAACTTTCTAGACCCGGAGAGGTTAAGTGATTTGCCCTGTCATAGACCCACTATGTGTCAGAGGCAGGGGTTGAAGCCAGGTCTTTCTGGTAAGTCACTTAGTTACTATCTGTCTCTGTTTCTCAACTGTAAAATGGGGATAATAATATCTACCTCACAGAAGTTGATGTGAGGATTAAATGAGATAGTATTTGTGAGGGCTTAGCACAGAGCCTGGTACATAGTAGGTGCTTAATGTTTATTCCCTTCCCTTGTTCTTCCATTCCAAGATGTTTTTCTTACCATAATGCTGTGTTGCCTCACGCTTATGAAACTACATATAAATGTATAGATTCTGAGACTTTACATAAAAATATACCCTTATATAAAAGTGTCTTAGTAATTTTTAATAGAAAGATGTTAAATAAGTAATTTTATGGTCTTTAAGAGGCCTCAGATATTAAAGAGTGAAGGTCAGATCTATTCCCACATAAAATACACATACTTTACACTCACCCTGTTGTCCAAAATCAATAAGGCTATTTTGGGTCTGACTGGCCTTCAGAAAAATGATGAAATACTCCAAATGAGGTGTGCTAACAACAGGAAGTACATTTTAAACAGTCTCCCATAGTTTGTATGGCTCTGTGGTAAATGACTAAAGATTAGAAATTTCTTAGTAGCAGTGTGAACGAAAATGGGAAATGTCATAAACTGATCCCATATGATTTAATATTGATACATTTGCATTCTAAGATGGAATTACGTTGATTTTTTTTCCCCATTGGTGATGACTGATCCTGGTTGAAGGAAAATATGGCAACAGAGTTGAGTTAGTTGTTGACAATGTTTTTTATTGAAGAAATAAAAAGATATGTTCCAATATTTGGTCACCAAATGCTATTTTTTTTAGAACAAACATAAGGAAACAACCTGAATAGAAGGGAAATTTAACATTTTAACACTAGAAGATGGTTTTAAGTGTTACATGAAAACTATTTAGAATATTCAGGAAGGTATATGTTGGTGCTCCTATTTTCCAGTGTAAATAACCAGCTACTGTCTAAAGCTTTCTAATGATGGTATACACTTGTATGTATAAGTACATATATGTTTATACACATTCACATGAAAGCATATATATGGCAGTTGCCAAGTTACCAATAAGCTACATTAATACGGATATAATTGAGTGTAAATTATGTACATACTTATTCACAGTTGTGTTTAACTCCAAAAATGAATATATTAAAATAATAAAGATAAATACATGAAACTAAGATTGTTCCGTATTATGGTAGTTATAGCTTTGTCATATTTTAACTGAACAACAGTAAACAGTTAAGTATGCAGACAGAACACCTAGGTTTTGAAAGGGACATGGGATTTGTGCCAGAAGGGACAGATTTCTCATTTTTATTTTCAGATACAAAAGAAAACAAGTATTACAGGGAACACAGTTCAGGACCAGAGTAATACTTTAATACACATGAGTAGTTTACCTTCTGTATATGAACACTGTACCACGTTTTTACACAAAGATGTAGTTTAACTAAAATTGCATTGGCAGTGACAAATCTTCAAGACACACCAGCTGAGCTTCACAAAAGATCTTGGAGCCTTGAAAAGAAAATTTGGCGTTCTATTTACAAATCAACTCTAGATGCTACTTAACCCAAACAGGAACCCAAATACCGCACATTGGAAATTGAGTGTGGCAATGTAACCCTGCTCTCCTCTCCTGCTTGGGTCTTTTGAAGTCTCACAGCCTGCTCCAAGTCTCATTTGCATTCTTTGGGGAATATTATAGTTGAGAGAGGGCAGAGCCTCTGATGCAAGAACAAGTCACTTCTAACTGCTCCCAAAGAACTCTCAAACACTCTTGAGTTACAGACAAGTTGCTCATCTACACTGGTAGAGGGAGTTTTCATATTAAAAGTTCCCTATAATAATAAAAGCAGGGCAGAGGGGACCCCAAAAGAATATAGAAAAAGGAGAGAAAGCAGAATCTTACTTTGCCACCAGAATTTTGAAAAGTCAGTGCATGGCTGACTCACATTTTGACATCTTTCTACAATTCCCAGTCTTCTACCCACTGGAAAATGGTGTTCAGCTTGACTTGAGAAGATTTAAATTTCATTAGGTCAAAGATTTAAAGATGGAAGGGATCTTACATCTTGTCCAACTACCTCGTTTTTTGGACAAGGAACCAGAGGTTCAGAAAAGTCAAATGATTTTCCCAGGGCCATGCAGGTAGAAAGTGACTAAAGCAGGATTAGAATCCAAGGTTTTGGTTTTTTTTTAACACCAAGTCCAGTATTCTATCATCAATGCCATGCTATCTCTCAAGTTTGTTTCTGTTTGTTGTAGAAGGAATGAAGAATTTTGTTCAGAGGTTTAGAAAGGCTGTTCACATCAATCAACATGTTGCATGTTTTTATCGGAGTTGGGAAATCTGCCAACGTTCAACAAAGATGCAGAGTACTATCCAAGGATGTAAACCCTTGACATTTTTTGAAAATTTTGCTCATATGATCACTCCAGCACCATGTTTCAAGCCTATCACTCAACCTCAAAACACGCAACGGACTTTTTGGCAGATAAACTTAAGTTATCTGATGTCCGATAGGAAAGAGAGCTCATTTTTGTCGTTTGAGATCTGAAACTGGGTGGTATGTATTTCAGGAGCTGAAGAAAGTATTTTTTAAACTTCTTTCCCAAAAAGCCATAAAACAGGGGATTCAGGCAGTTGTTAAAATAGGCTATGCAGATGGTTATGGGCATTGCCGTATCCACAATATCTATGGTTTTGCAGTCCTTTATGATGCCCAGCTGAATCAGAACATCCAGAAACGTGAATATTTGGTGCGGAATCCAGGAAAAGAAAAAGAAGAGGACTATTGCCATAATGATCCTGAAAATGTCATCATTTCTTGGCCTGTTTTTTTGAATCTCATAAGCCTTTTTCAGGGTCTTCCAAATCAGAGTATAGCTTGTCAGAATCACCAGAAAAGGAATCAAGAAGCCCAAAATATTTTTGCTTAGGCCCAGCCCCACCAGCAGTGTGGAGTTGTGGGTTTTGTAATAAAAAGCACAGACCGTGATATTCGTATTCTCGATGAAAAAAACGTTGCGGTGAATTACAACAGGCAGGCTGGCCAAGCCAGCGAGCAGCCAAATCACAATGCATGTCACTTTGGCCATGAGCATGGTGCGCCGAAGGCGGGACTTCATCGGATGTACAATAGCCAGGTAGCGGTCGATGCTCAGGGAGGTGAGAAGAAATACGCTGGCGTAGAGATTAAAACTGATGCCGGCGGACGCAATCTTACACAAGCAGTTCCCAAAAGGCCAGCGGTATTCCATGGCAGTGTAAACAGCCCAGAGTGGCAAAGTCATTAAGAAACACAAGTCAGCCAGAGCCAAGTTCATTAGGAAAACGCTGGCTACTGTCTTTAATTTCATGTAGAAGTAAATGACAATAACCACCAAGCTATTGCCAAAGATTCCCACAACAAAGATGATGCTGTATAAGGTGGGAACCATAATGAATATATAGCTATGTCTTCCTGATTTGGGGCAGTCATCTTGGATTCTTTTAATAGTCTCTTGGGTGGAAGAATTTAGATTCATTTTGATCTTCTAGGTGGGAGATCAGTTTCAGGTGCTATGCCAGCTTCATCTTGAGAAAAAGAAAAGAAGAGAAAAGAAATTAATGACTAATATTTCATTTTTACTTAAAGTTTTAATATTATTGCTCCCCCTTTTTCAAATGAGGAAATCAAGGAAAGGATGAGTTAAGTGAACTGCCCTTAGTTACCAGAAAAATGATTTGAACTCACATCTCCCCTATGTCCAAGACCATCCTTCTTTCCTCTGAATATACCACAGTGCCTCCTGATGGCTAAGATGCAACATAATTTAATAAATACAGTGCTGGCCTTAGGATCATGGGTTCAGATCTTCTCTGACACTCACCGGTTGTGTGACTCAGGAGCAAATCACTTGACCTCTTTGTATCTGAGGCAATTCCCTATGGTTTGTCTACTAACTCACATGTGCAGCTCATTCTTAATCCCATTACTAAGAAAATACATGAACCAAATCTTCATTGTATGAATGGAAATTATGAATTGCAGTAAAACTTTTTAAATAAATGATTTTTTAAGTAAGATGACATTTCTTTCTGAAACAAAACAAATCGGCGTCAGAAAGGAAAAAGATCTAGCAGAAGCGAGATGCCATGGAAGCAAATCAAGCTATCTTGCTTCTTTGTACTTTCTTTACTGGTACATTATTAGCTTCCTGGGTGATGTTCAAATTGGACACACGGTCCCTTCTCCTGACAGTGTCAAACATGTTCATTGAAAAGTGTCACAGATGGTCAACAGGATCAGAACAAAGAGTTCTCAAAAGAATAGTTAACAACTCACAAAAACATAAGAAGATGGTTCCAAACAACTAATAATAAGGGAAATACATGTTGAAACAACGAGGTTTCAGCTGATATCCAACAAATTTAGCAGAAGATGGGGCTGGTTGATGCTAGAGTAGCTGCAGAAAGACAGGAATTGGTCCAACCATTCTGGAAAGAAATTTGGAATTGTGTGTGTGTGCGTGCGTGCGTGCGTGCGTGTGTGTGTGTGTGTGTGTGTGTGTGTGTGTGTGTGTGTGTTTTAAAGCAACTAAAATGCCTATACTCACTTTTGGCTGTATACTCTAAGGAAGCTAAGAAAAAAAGTCTCATATGCTCCAACATATTCCTATTGACACTTTAATCTACTCACAGAATTGCTGTGAGGATGAAATGAGATACTATCTGTAAAACACTTGGCAAACCTTAAAATGCTATATAAATGTTCACTATGACTACTACTACTGCCATTACCACTACTACTACTGCTGCTGCTGCTGCTACTACTTCTACTATAAAGAAAACGCAGCAAGTTCAGTGCCTCAGACTGGGATTCATTGATGACGGAAGGTTTACAAAATTGAGAAAGGGAGAGAGGAAGTAGCAGAGATAATAGGGAATGGGCATTGCAGGGCCAGAGTTCCCATTTTGTCCTTGCTAAGATTTTTTACAGGACTTCCTTGTTTTGGCTGGTGATGATAAGGCTCTTTGGGGGCAGATTCTTGGTTATAGAACAGGGGTTCTTAACTTTTTTGTGTCATGGACATTCTGGTCCTTTGACATTCTTTAAATCCTATGGATAATGTTTTAAAATACATTTAAATACATAAATAATGTTTTTAAATACATAAAATAAAATGCACAGGAGTACAAAAAAGTCCAGTAATATTAAAATAGATTTTATTAAAAATTAAGTCATGCCAATATGATAATGTATTATAATGCAATATATAGAATAATATATATTAGTTTACATTAATACATTAAATGTCAAAATATTTTAAAAACAAGTTAGCAGCTTGAGCACCATTGGCTTAGCAGGGGTGGGGAATCTGCAGCCTTGAGGTCACATGTAGCCTTCTAGTTCCTTAAATGTGGTCCTTTGACGGAATCCAAACTTCACAGAACAAATTCTCTTTTGTTCTGCGAAGTTTAGATTCCGTCAAAGGGCCTCACTTGAGGTCCTAGAGGGCCACATGTGGCCTCAAGGCCGCAGGTTCCCCACCCCTATTCTAGTGGATAGAGTAGCAATGTTCTTGTGTGCACAGTTTGGGCAGCAGTTCCCATTTTATCCTTACTAAGCCTTTTCTGGCTCTGCCATTTCTTAGTCGCACCTCACTGTTTATACTGATTCCATGTCTTCGTTACACTGTTTTCACTTGTAGTTTAAACAGATCACCACTTTGAAAAAAAATCAAGTCTGTGGTGAGTGTTTACTGTGTGCCCAGCACTCTGCCAGAGCTGGGGAGATACCACTAAGCTCAAAATAATCCCTTATGAAATGTAGCATGGTGTGATGGACGGAGTGCCAAGACTGGAGTCAGGAAGATGAGTCTTCCTGAATTCAAATCTGGCCTCAGACAGAGGGCAAGTCGCTTAACCCTGTTTGCCTCACTTTCCTCATCTATAAAATGAGCTGGAGAAGAACATAGCAAACCACTACAGTATTTTTGCCCCCCCCCAGGTGGGGTCACAAAGAGTCAGACAGGGCTGAAAGGACTGAACAAGTGGTGGATGGAGAGTTGTACTTGGAATCAAGACAACCTGGGTTCAAATCTTGCCTCTGCAACATGCTGGCTGTGTGACTCTGGGTGAGTCACTAAGCCTCTCAGAGTCCCAGACAGTTCTATAAGACTATATAGAAGTCACAAAGTAGGTGTGGACATGCATCGACAGAAAGTTTTCTTGTGGGAAACTCTATACACCAGTGAAATCACAGGTCTGGGTCCATAATTGCATGTAGAGAACTGCTAGAGACAGGCTTACTTCTCATTGACTCAGATCCCCATGGGAGGATGGGGGGTTGGGTTGGTGGCAGGTAAGGGAAAGGGGACAGGATAAGCAGATAATTAATAATAACTGAGTGAAAAACTGAAAAATCCTGCAGAAGAATATATGGGTATTGTCTAAGTACCATGCCCCTGCTTGTAGGGATCAAAGGACCATCTGGGTAACAGTCCAAAGGGCAAAGCCCCTGCTCTCTGAAACATCAAGAGGGGCCGGGTGGGGTGGAGGTGGAAACATAATCTGAGATTGGGGAGCAAAGTTCCAAAGGGGGAGGGTGGGAATCCACGCAGAGAAAGGTTAGGAGAGCAATAAAGTGGGCTTCCCTCCCTCTGTCCATCAATTGCTGGTCCTCTGATCAATGGAAGGCAGCATAGCAGAGTGTTGATAGAAGAACACCTGGATTTGAATCCCAGCTCTGTCACTATCCGTGTGACCTTGGGCAAGGCTCTTGACTCTCTGGGCTTTGGTTATAAATAATCTCTAAACTTTCTTTCAACTCTAAGTCCCTGAACCATTGGGGAGCCCAAAAAGGTCTATTTGTAGCCCCCTGAGAACAGATACCACAATGCCATCCTACTTTTTCTTTCTTTCAGGACTATGCCCTAGCCAGGGGTTCTGACCGTTTTTTAAATTTCATGGACCCCATTGAAATTTTTGAATGCCTGAGGTTTTTAATGCATAAAATACAAAGGATTACAGAGGAAACCAGTAATACTGAAATACGGTTATCAAAATATTTTTTTAAAAACAAGTTCATGGACCCCAGGTTAAGAATCCATGTAGACAACCAAGCATCACCATGTGGGCAGGCTCTTCCTTAGCATGTTTTTGTGTGCCTCTAAAGGGATCAAAACATACGGCTCTTTATTTTGCACTCTTTATTTCCCTATTCAGATTCTTCAATTGTTATTTTTAAGTAGATCATTGATCTGTCAGAATGGCCACTGGTGACAAATAAGTGATACATAAAATAAGTTCCTAAAATTATAGCCTTGTCATCGAGCTCCTTCTATTGCAACTAAAAGACTAAAAATATCAGTTTTTGTCCCTTCAAAGCATAGGGGAAAAAAGTGATTCTAAGCAGCTGAATAAATTTACGATCTATCAGGTGAGAATTGTCAGCCTGCTGCAAACACTGTGGAGTGACTTGTAGTGATGTAATTTTTCCTTAGGATGTTATCTTGCATTCTTTAAAGGTTTCTCAGAATTTCTAAAAGTAAACAAAATACGCAGAAGACTTGCTCATTAAAAAAAAAGATTTTTCCTCAAGACTTTTGATTACAATATTAATACCTTCTTTAGCTTATAGGCAAGCTAAAACCAATCTAATTAAATTGTTCATTACAATCTCCTTTTTAATGAGTTTGCAATCTAAAGGGGGAAAAAAACTATCCCACATTTCTTATAATAATAAATAGGAAACTTAAAAAGACCAAGTAATTATATTTTGGGATAATTGGCTATCAATTTTTTTCCTATAATCCTGGAACAAACATACCACACTGGTAAGACATTTGCCTGTAAGTTGGACTCTTCATATGGTCCATCAAAAAGTCACATAGAGCAATAAATGTATATAAAAAAAAACCAACAAAATTCCTCAGTTACAATATAAGCTTCTTGAGGACAGGGAGCAGTTCTTCTTTGGGTATAGATTGACTAGCTTTGGCCTTATGTTGCTAGGCTCCAGGTGTCCATTGTGTGTCCTGGACGCCTCCCCCCAAGCTCTTTTCTCTTTCTAGTTCCCCTTTATGTGCTAGATTCCCCCATTGGAATGTAAGCTTCTTGAGGGCAGGGCTTTGCTGAAAATACCTTTCTTACTTAGCACAGTGCCTGGCAAATAATAAAGACTTAATACATTCTAACAATGAAGAGAAAAGAGTCATATGGAAGGAATCTTGAGCGATATCGAAGGGCAATTCTGTCATTTTACAGAGGGAAAGTGCATGATTTCTTGCAGTCATTAATGCCCCATTGATTCCATGCAATCTTGATTGAATAGGCAGTGTAGTCCTGTGAATACAGTGCTGGCCTTGGAATTAAAGACTTGACCTCCAGTACTTACTAGTTATATGACCCTGTGGAAGCTAATGAACCAGTTTGGGCCTCACTTTCCTCAGCTGTAAAATGGGGATAAAGCTCTCTGTAGCACTTCCATCAAGGAGTTGTCATGAGGTTCAAATGATAAGGAAGAGAGCATGGCTCAGAGGAATAAATTCTGTTTCTGAAGTCGATGTCTGGGTTTGAATCCTGTACTTAGC